TGGCCTCTCCGCCGCCCCCCAGGGAGCTGGGCCCCCAACCACCTCCATGGCCCGAGAGTGCTGGGGAATGGCCAGTACTGTAGCTGAGCGAGGGGCTGGCTGTGGGCAGCCCCTGGGAGTGGGCAGCTGGCCCTGGGTACGGCTCACCCTGCACCCCATATAGCTGCCCCTGCAGCTGGTCTGGGGAATAGCTCTGACATGTGGCTAGGCCAGGAGGCGGGGGACCACTAGGGGGCTGCTGGGGCCCACCTGAGTAGCTAGGGCCTTTGCTCAAGTCCTGCGCTTGACCCCCTCCAAACCCTTGCCCATAGGCCTGGGGTCCTAGAAGCCCTTGGGGCTGACCAGGGGAATAGGCCTGGCCTCCCGCCCCCCCAGCCCCAGAGGCCTTGCCAGTGGCGTAGGCTGCTGCTGGCCCACCCAGGCTCTGGCATTTGGGCGTGGCAGTCGAACGGGGTGGTGGGGGCCTGTTGGCACCGCCCGCAGCTGCCCCATAACCACCTTTGCCCGTCTTGTAACCAGGCGACTGAATGATGGGGCGGTAACCTCCACCGCCACCCGCCGCCCCACCTCCTCCAGCTGCCTCGGGGCCCGCAGCCCGGCCCGATGCCCCGGCCGTGGCTCCACTGGGCCCAGCCTTGCTAGGCTCGCCAGCGCCCGGGGAGGGCTCCCCACCGCCCAGGGGGCTGCAGGCCAAGTTGGCCCGGTGGCCCATGGAGGCGTAGCTGCCTCCGCAGCTCAGGTAGTGCTGGAGGGCGTGGGCTGGTGGTGGGGGGGGCTGGGCACTGGCTGGCCGCTGGTAGTGCTTGATGACGGTGTCCTGGCGGGGCAGGGCCCGCTCGGGTGGCGGTGGGCCGGGGGCGGCACCCGAGAAGTTGTAGAGCTGGGGAGAGGATTGCTCGGCGGCAGCGGCAGCAGCAGCGGAAGAGGAGGCCAGCAGGTTGAACTGAGTTGGGAGGTGGCGGGGAGGTGGGGGTGGATCTGGGGGGCCTGGGCGGTAAGGAGGGGTTTGGGCTGGGCCGAGACCAGCGGGCCCCAGGACACCACCCCCCGCCAGGCGCTCAAAGCCTAGCGAGGAGGGCACCGTGGGTGCCTGCGAGGGCTTCAGGTGCAGCACGTCATGAGGGGACAAGAGCCCATTAGCTGGGGGACTAAATGGAGGGTCCTGGAGGCTGAGGGAAGAGGGTACTGGGAAGGGACGGCTGCCAAAGGAAGCCGGGTGCTGATAGGCCGACAGGGCAGAGGAGGATGGAAAGGTGCTGGAACCCGGCAGGGCGCCTGAGATGAAGAGCTCCGTGGGGCCTGGCGTGTGCATGGCTGGGGATGAGGAAGGAGACCACAGGTCAGAGTTGACCACAAGCCAGCCCCACCCTGGCCCTCCTGGACTGGCAATGGCCTTACCTGTTTGCCAGGAAGGACTGCGGAATTGGGAGAGGAGAGAAGAGGCAGAGGGACCAGGCTGGGGGCCCCGGGACTCCAGGGCCGAGATGAGGTTCATGACGGAGGCGTCGGGCCCTGCTGAGCCTGCGTGATGGAGGCCGGTGTCGAAGAGTCCAGAGAGGCCTGGTGAGGGTTGGGGGGGTAGAGTCAGCTAGGTGGGGGATAGGGCAAGGTGGAAAAGGAAAAGGAGCAGGCCAAAGGCAAGTTGGGTCAGGAGAAGGGGTTGGAGAGAAGGGGCAGATTCAAAGAGGAGAAAGGAGGCAAAGACAAGTTAAGGAAACAATAAGCAGGATGGGGTACGATGCAATCATAAGGGCAGGGAGCCCAGGAGGGGAAAAGTAGACAAAGGAGTAGAAAAATCCATACATGAAGAAAATGGGAGCAAAACACAGAGCGTCCTTATGGTCCAAGGGAGGCCAAAGGATTAGGCAATTCTAGCAAGAAAGGGGAAGGGATGGGATGACTGCAGCCACTGAGAAGAACCAGAGAACAAGGCAAAAGGGGTTGAGTCAAAGTGAGAGGATCCAGATTTAAAAAAAAAAAAAAAAGAGACAGAGAGGGAGGAATAAAGGGAAGGAGCCAACCAAGAGGGTCAAGGGTCAAATTGGACAACAGCCCCGTTGCTGATCCATCTAGGAAGGAGAGCGGCAGGATCAAAGGAAGGGAACCAATCCGAGGCACTAGAGGCAGGGCCACAGGAAAAGAATAAGGCAGTGGGCAAATCTAAGGAAGAAAGGGGAGGTCCAAAGAATCGGAGCCAATCAGGAAGAAAGGGAATCAGGAAGAAAGAGTTCCGAGAACCAAGAGGATGAGCAGACCCAGAGGGAAGGGATTGGGGTGGGCTGGAGAGGCGGAAAAGCCTGGAAGAGAAGGTGGGATTTGGGGGCTGAGACGACGGGACCAATTGGAACAAAAGAGGCGGGGCCAGAAACAGGGGCAGACGAATCCGGCGTGAAATTAAGCAGCCTCAGAACAACCAATCAGAGGAGAAGTAGCAAGAGGCGGGCCAGAACGGAGAGCACAGCCAATTAGGAAGGTTGTAACTTTCAGCAGCCAATCATTTGCTTCGGAGGGAGGGCCAGGCAGGGCGGGACAGGGGCCGTACCTGCCGGGTGGTGGTTGGTGGCATAGCTTTGCAGTGGGTGGGGGGCCGCGTAGGCCTGGCGGTGTAAGATGTCCGTCTCGGGGTGCGAGGTCCTGGAGCTGCCATAGACCAAGCTGGGAGGAAGAAGGAGATGTTAGGGTATCCTCCGAAGCTACCCTCGGAGAAGGGAACTCAGCAAATCCCCTGGGGAGTTGGGGAGAATCTTCCAGCTGACTGGGGGCTATCCTAAGGAACCTTGGGCCCTAAAGGAAAGAAGACAAGGGAATCGGAGTGCCCAACTAAAGAGCCACAGAAATGGTCCCCACTCGAGCCCCAGTAAATAGAGCCCAGATAGCCTCACATTTACAAACACAGACATGCACAGGGAGGACACAGAGAGGGTGAAGAGCCAGAGAAAGTGCCTTAAGTTGAAAATGTGGACCTGCTTCCACAGCCCCCACCCCGCAGGTGACACAAGGCCCTGGGGCCAAGGGATGCCCCCTCTTCTTCAGACACATGGGAACACAGAGGCCCTGAACCTCAGGGGTGGTGCAAACCGAGTCAGGAGCAGGAGACAGACTGTTCCCCAAAGGGCAGGGATGGGAGGTGGGCAGAGGATAGGACTCCTGCAAAGTACCAGGCACAAGTGTGCACATGAACACCGTCCATCCCCCCGGGTTGAGGTTCAAATGCATGGGGGCATGCAAAGCCAGGTCTGTGTGCAAACCAGTATCCAACTCACTGTGTGGAAAGATACAGAGCGAGGAGTCCCACATGGAGAATACTAACACACGTGGGGTCATGCCCAGCCAAGCTGGGAGACCCAGGTGTATAGGGGGAGGGGGATTCGGGGGCAGGTGAAGAGTGAGGGTGTGACACAAACAGCAGGAAAGGGGCAGGTTCGCAGGTGAAAAGGCTGCCAGCTACATAACGCACTGGGCCCACGCTCACACACACAACCACACACCCGGGAAACAGCCTAATCTTCCTATGCAACGGCCCCAATCCATGGCCCAGACTCAAGAGGTCAAACACTCCACTCCTCGCCATCAACTAGGATTCTGTCTTTGAGGGTGGGGGAGCTCAAGGGGGCGTGTCTCAGATGCCAGGACCCCCACCTTACACAAAACCCCAGCTTAGGAAGGGGGCGGGGCCCCGTGCCCACTCAGCGCGCGGAATTTCTGGGGGGGCCCCCCGAGTAGCGCGGCCTCGCGCAGTCCCGGAACAATAGGACCTGAGGGGGGGCCGCGCCCCCCAGGTCTGCGTTCTAATTCTCTTTTCCTTCCCACCTTTGCAAGAGCAGAACCTAGGGCGCGAGGGGGAGGGGTCAGCAAACCGGGAATCCAAGGATGGGGGGAAATCCAGGCCTTGCTTCGCCAGTCCCTCCCACCTTCCCAAGGCCTTTCCGTCTGAAATTGTTTTGCACCCTCATTTTTCCGCGGCATCTCTCCCTTTGCATGCCGGAGCTGGCTTTGGCGGAGTTTGCAATTTGCAAACTGGGGCGGCGGCGTTGTTGCAAACCGAGGAAGGCCGCTCCCTTGCAAGCCGGAGGGGAGTTTGCGATGCAAGCGTAGCCGGGCGGGCCCGGCCGGGCTGGGCCCCCACCTCTTGGCCCCTTCCTCCAGGCCACCCCCGGCTCCTTACCTAGCTTTCGCTGACCTCTCGTAACTCCATCCCGCCCCGGCGCCGAGCGGGTCCCCGAAGCCGGCGCTGGGGTAGTTCCTGTCCATGAATTGGCCGCGGTGGAAATTGGGGGGAGGGGGAGGGAGGGAGGGAGGGAGGGGGGCGCGCGCGCGCTCTCCTCCGCCGCCGCTCCCTCCGCTGTTGCTTTTTTTTCCCTTCCCTCTCTCCCTCTCTCCCTCTCTCTCTCTCTCTTTCTCTTTGCAGCCGCCGAAGGCCCGGGAAGGCCCCGGGCGGGGGAGGGAGGGGACAGGGGCGGAGGGGCGGAGGGCGGAGGGGCGGAGGGGCGGGCAAGGGAGGGGGTGCAGCCGACGAGCCAACGAAGGGGGAAGGGGGGTTCCCCCTGGAGGGAAAGGGGGGGAGGAGGGACCCGGCTGTCTCCGCCTTTGCCCCGGCGCTTGCAGGAGAGAAGGGGGGGCGCGCGCTCCGGAGGGGGCGTCCCGGGCGGCCCCGGGGTGGGTGCGGGCGCTGGGTGCTCGCTCTATCGCCGCCGCCGCCGCCGCCTCCTCCTCCTCTGCGCTCACGGTGCAGCCATCTTTGCACAAGGCGGCTGGGGGAGGGGGGAGGGGAAGGGGGGGCGGGCGGCGGGGTGTCTGGCTGCGCTCCGCTTCCTCCCACAATCCCGTGCAAATGAAAAAAAAAAAAAAAAGAGCGAGGCAGACACAGAGCGTTAGCAGGGCCTGAGGGTGTAGGGCGCAGCGTTTGTACAGAAAGCCAGCTCTGCCGTGCGCAGTCGCGCCCGGGAACGCGGTTCAGTTTATTTGTTTTTTTTTTTTGCATTATTTCACTCTTTTGGGTCTCTTTTCCAAAGGGTTTTTATTTAGGGAAAGAGCTCAACTCCAGTCCCCCAGGTGCAGTGTGCGCCTGCCCCCAACCAAGCACGCTTGCAAATATGCCCCCCACCCTTTCCCTGGATTGCAGAGTGCCCCCGTGCGCGCACGGGGAGCACACGAAAACACGCGTGTACACAGGCGGGGCTCTGCCTGTCCGTGGCCCGTGACACTGAGGGAGATGGCCGTGTCACACCTACTCACACGCGAGTCTGCGAGGCACTGCGCGCCTGAGTCGGAGTTTCCACGCACGCCTATCCCGGGGGCGGGGCTGGTGGGTACCCCCACCATTAGGAGAGCGTGGGGGCCTGCGAGGCGCCGGGACGCGGGAACACGTTGCCCGGGAACTTGCGTGTATCCGTAGGCGGCGGAAACACGTGTGTTAGGGTAGGCCTCGGGCTGGACGATCCCTACTGCCATCACCCCTCCAAGCTCAGCTCCGGAGTTTAAGAGGCCTGGGGGTTTCCGGAATCCGGTGTGAATCTGGGGCACGGTTCGGAGAACCCCGACTCCGAAACAGCTCGAAACAGCTCTTCAGCGCGGCCTCCAGAGGCTGCAAGGAGAGGGGCACAGTGGGGAGTCAAAGGCCCGGCTGTTTTTGCCCCCTCAACCAAGACCACTCCGACCCACCCTGGGTGTCTCAGCCTATCCTCTGGGTACAAGACCCACCCCCCATAATACTACACACACACACACACACACCCCTACCCCTATAATACTACACACACACACACCCCTATAATACTACACACACACAAACACACCTATAATACTACACACACACACACACACACACACACACACACACACTCACACTCTTCAGGCCACGCCCCCGCCCTCCAAGCCTCGCCCCGGATAATAAGCTCAAAATTCCAAATCCCGCCCCTAAGCCCGCGCCCCTCCTCCGGCAGTGCCCTCCCCTCTGCGCCCCGCCCCCAGGCAGAAGCCCAGCCCCATACCTGGCGTAGGGGGGCGGTGGTGCGTCGTGCACCCCAGAGGCCGCCAGCGCCTGCTCGTAGGTGGGGAGGCCTGGGGGTGGGGGTGGAGGCAGGGGCGTCGGCGGACTCAGAGAGCTCAGGGGACTGATGAGCTCGGCCCTGGGGACAAGAAGGTGCACTGTTAGCAGGATAGAGAGCCTTGGGAGAAGGAGGAAAGAGGTAGGGAGACAGAGACACTGAGGGTGGTGGGGAGACAGAGGTGGAAGGGAGATGGACCAAGGAAAAAGAGTCACCTTCAACCTGACTCTACACACAGAAAAGCACTTCGAAGTGACAGGCAGATAGATGCACAGGGACAGGCAGCCACAGAAATCAACAACTGCTGAGACAGACTCGTTCACAGACACATGTGCTCCAGATACAAGCAGAGAGTCGTGGAGAAAGACGCAGCCCTGCAGAGAGGCAGGCAGACACACACAAGAAACAGACAGAAACAACAGAGATACACTCAGCCACAAATTTGCCAGATCCACTCTTAACAATAAACCCTTCCTAGAAACCTTTAGACCCACTATACTTCAAGACTATGCTCAAGCCCTCTCTTCGACCCTGCCACTGAGAGAGACACACCTAGACAACTGACATAGGCACACACAAACACAGCTACACCTTGTCACCACGGAAACTGACATCCCACAGACACCCACAGACCACAGGCTGCAGCCTCACCAGATATAATACCCACAGAATGATAATCACACATAAAACGGGTACTGCAAAGACAGCCAGGCAGCAAATATTGAATGAGTTCCTACTTTGTGCCAGGTGCTGTGGATATAGTCAGAGAGATGCCACAACTGGACACAGAATCTCGCAGACTCACTCTCCACATGACGGTCTCCTCAGATCTTTCAGCAGCGCCCAACCGCCCCCAATCTGGCCCATCTCCTTAGGTTGACCCTTCCTCCCTTCCCTGCTCCCCAGCCCCTCCTCCCCAAATCCCCCTTACTCTTGAGGACTGGGCTGCTGGCCTCGTTTCTGACGGCAATGCAGATACCAAAAGGCTCCCAGGCTGGCCAGGACCATGAGCAGGATGCCCACTGTCAGCCCCACAGCCATGCTTGCTACGTCCCCTCGTCCACGTCCTGTGGGGGGGAGGAGGGCACAGCGTCAGGGGCTGTCACCCTCTCCAACATCCAGATACCTTCCCCTGAGGTAGGGGAAACCTTTCCAGATTTCCCCTGAGGGAAGACGACTGGCCAAGAAGGCAGAGCTGGGGCCACTTCCTAGCTGTGTGAACTCAGGCAACTCACCTCACTCATTTCTGTGAGCCTCCATTTCCTGCTCTGTAAAATGGGAATAATAACCCCTAATAGGTTGCAAAAAATGCAATGAATTAAATGCAGAAAGGGCCTGGGATAACCTCATCTGAGACTAGAAAATAGGACAATTGTCTCTCTGAGAGGAGAGAGAACCCTCCTAAGATTGCAGGTGACATGCTTACTTAGGGTAGGGAGTTCAGACAGCCAACTCTCTGAACCCCCATATTGAGCATTGCCAGATTTAGCAAATAATAATGAGGATACCCAGTTAAATGTGAATTTGACATAAACAGTGAATTTCTTTTTTTTTGGCCACCGCAGACGTCATGCAGGATCTTAGTTACCCGACCAGGGATCGGACCCGTCCATGCCCCCTGCAGTGGAAGCACGGAGTCCTAACCACTGGACTGCCAGGGAATTCTAATTTTTTAGTATAAGTATGTCCCATGGAATATATGAGATATACTAAAAAATTATTCCTGTGTATTTGAAATTCACATTTAACTGGGCTGTGGGGGGAGCTGTCTTGTATTTTATCTAGCAACCCCGTGCCCTCTGGAATGCAATACCTTTTACCAACCAGGCTAAGGAGGGGCAAGGCCTTACCAGAAGGCAAGGAACAATTTATCTATGAAGGAGGAATGTAGGGACATCCCCTCAAAAACAGACCGCTGGTGTTTAGAACTCATGGGGACCCTTGGCCAAGGTGAAGCGGCTTTAGCAATCAAAGCTTCATGTCTGAGGAAAAGGGGGGTGGGGCACAGGGAGGACCCTGGCTTTGTGAGGCCTTGCTAGGTCTTGCTGCTGGGGAAACTCCCTTTAGCACTGGGCAGGGGGGACTTTCCTCAAACAGTAAACCTCAGGCTTTTAGCCCTCTTAGCAAAAAGCTGCACGAAGAAGCGGGGGGTGGGGGACGGCCTTCCTGATTCCGACATGTTTCAGGTGGACTCGAGAAGCCAACAGGCCTTGATAGGCCTGTAGCAAAGCAGTTACCTCCCCTAGCAACCAATGTGAGGACTTCAGCCCAGACTTAGGGCCTGTTGCTAAGGTGGAAACACCCCTAGCAACCAGGCCACTCAGGGGTGAGATGCCCTGTGCCTGGAGGGGGGTCCTCCTGTGGGCAGGAGGCCTTGGGTCCTGAGCTTGGCTAGGTGTGGTTGCTAGGAAGAAGGCCTCCTTAGCAACCAGGCTGAAGCCAGGATGGGGTTGTGGGGGAGGGGAAGCCAACCAGGTAGTGAGTGCTGCTGTCTTCCTTGGTCCAGCCTGGCCAGGCTTTGTTGCTAAGGAGCAGCCCCCTCTTAGCAACAAGGCTGCAGCCACGATGGGGCCTCAGAACTCAGAGGAGGGGTTGGGGCTGGGCTGATCGGGCAGGTGAGGACAGACAGGCTTCCACCAATTGGCCTAGCCCAGACCCGTTGCTAGGGAGCAACCCCCTAGCAACCAAGCTGCAGAAGGGGCTGGGGCTCTGGACTCCAAAGAGGGGCTCAGGTGGGCCAGGGCCTCTGAGCCTGAGGCTGTAGCTTCTCCTTCCAACTGTCCTCCTTCCTGGGGACATGGGACCTATTCCGAATAAGGTGTGGTGGGTTCCTCGGGCAAGGGCTCTAGTCTCAGAGGAGGGGATTTCTTTACCAACCCCATCCAGGAACTCAGGAGCATGGAACATGGAGGGGGTGAGATCGGGCTGGGGGATGTTCGTTCAGCCGCCACAGAAAGGAGCTGCCTTAGTTGCACAGAATGAGGGCTCCCCCGACTCACCTCCTCTGCCATTGTAGATGTAGTTCTCCCAAAAGCGCTCCTTGAATGGGCAGAAGGAGAGAAGGCAGAAAGGAGGCATCAGCTGGGAGATTCTACCCCCAAACCAGCCCGCCCTGATGATCTCTGAGGCACGAGGGGAGAGGGAGCTGAGGGGCAGGACCCTCCCCCCCAGCCCAGGTCCTGGAGAAGACAGAGGGACTCCGGGGACCCCAGGGCCTCACCGTCAGAGTATTGTCCTCAAAATACTCCCGCGCCTCTTCCCAGGAACACCTCTCCTCTTGACACTCCCGTTCCAGGTTCCCTGGCGTGAACAGCTCCAGGTCCCAGTGATTGGCTCGTGGAATCCGCCTACGGCTGCCCAGGAAGCTCTGGGCCTCTGGGGAGTCCAGGAAGACTTCTGGACCCAAAAGACATAAGAGACAGAAAAATGGAGGGTTCCTAGGACTGGGGACATGAAGGAGCCAGAACTTAAGGGGATGAAGAGCTATGGGGTCCTGGGGGAGGAGGCAACTGCAGGCAGGGTTTTTCCTGGGCCAGAGGAAGGTGGATGTTTGTGCCTGGACTCCAGCTCTTCCTGCAAACGCTCACCTTGGTCTTGCTCCCCACTGGGTGAGGTGTCCAGGCAGGTGGTCAGTCCCAGGTACAGCAGCAGCACAGAGCGGTGGCTCCTCATATTTTGTGGACACTAATGTGGTTAGGTGAGAAGTGCCTCAGCTCCTGGAGAATGAGGCCAGGTCTCCCTGCCCAGACCCTGTGGTCCAGGAATTATAATAATAGCAGACACTTACGTGGCCTGTATCCTGGACCAGGCACTATTCAAGGTCATTTACCTCTATCAACTCAGTTTCATTTTCACCACGGTGCTATTATTATCTCCGTTTGATACAGGAGGAAACTGAGACGCAGAGAAGTAAAAGAACTTGCCCAAGTTCATAAAGTTTGCAAGATTCAGAGGCAGGATTTCAGCAAAGGCAGTGTCCCTCCAGAAACCAGAGCCAGGAGTTTTATCTTTTTTTCTGCTGTGTCTGCAGCCCCCAGCATGGGTTTTGGCACAAAGTAGGAGCTCATAAACATGTCCATTGATAGGGATTCCTTCTTCCTGGTAATTTCCATGTATATCCACCTCTCTGTGCCCATTGCCACATTCAGCCACAGAATCAACGATTACAGAAGAGGTAAAACCAGAGGCCTGTATCCTGGGGTCCAGGAGCTGGGGGAGGGGGCAGCGGTCCTGGACTCCTGGGTTTGGGGGCCCCAACCTCTGGGTCCCAGAAGAGCAGGGAGCCAGGTAGCCAGGGTCCCCAAGCCAAGCTCTGCCTCCAGGGACATTCACTTACCTGCCTAGACTTGTGAGCACTGTCCCCTCCTCCTTAATCAGGGCCTCCTCGGCCAGCTGCAGCCAGCTGTGAAGGGGGACAGGGGAGAAGGGAGGGGAGAGGAAGGAGGGGTTACCTTGTTAACTATAGTCGGCAAAATCCCGGTTTCTGGCCAGAGGGGCGGGGTTTGCGATTACCTGCCCTGGGCGGGACTCAGGTAAGGGACAAAGTATTTAAAGGGACCTTATGATTAAGGGTCTAAGGTCCAGAGCCCCACAGGGAGGCCAGGGTCTCCGACACCGTGGGGCACTTAGGGAGTTGGTTAGGCGCCCCCTTCCCTCCTATCCAATTTCCCCCCAGAGAGCTCGCCAGACAGAGCTAGGGAAATAAACAGCTAGGTCTCCAGATATCTAGGTATCTAGAAACTGGCGGGAAACTTGTGCGTTGGTCCCTGGGGGTAGGTGGGTATGCCGTAGTAAATTCCTGCTTCCTGAGAACGGCTCTGACTTCCGATTTCTCAACTGCTCCATTTATAAAGTGGGGACAGAGGAGTTGTCCCTTCTCTATTGTCTCTTATTTTGCAGCAGAAAAGTGGATGATAGGCTTTGGTAAGCGGACTTTACAATCTCTGGGCGAAGTGATTAGCCCTTAAACACAGGCTTAGGGAGATGCAAAGCGCCCGCCCAGGGAAACGCCTAGTATATACTAAGCACGCCCTCTATTCACGCCAGTTTCACTGACCGGAACCTTCGACTTGCCACTCACGTTTCCGGAGGAAGGAAGAGAAGAAGGGAGCACTTACCAAGCCAGAAGAGATACCTCCGCAAATAGGGGCAGATCTACTTCCGGTCTCTTCTGCCGGCCGGAAGTGAGCGGAGCGGAGAGGGAAAACAGCGCTCCTTTCCGGTGTAGGAGTACAGTTGAAGTAGCTACCGACGAGGGAGGAGTCGTTCGTGAGGTGAGTTCCAGGCGGTGGAAGGCTAGTGTTAGTGAGATCGCCTTCCGGTGGGCAAGAGTCTTGGGCTCCTGAGGGAGCTAGGACAGGATTTTGAATTCCTGACTTCCTGGCAATCCTTAATAGAGCACTCTAGGCGCCCCAGGTTTGAAGCCGGACTACCTCCCTGGAGGTAGCCAAACCTTCAGCCGGCAGTTCTCAGTAGAGTTTTAGTTCCACTGCAGACGGATGGGCCGGGAATCCCAGGGGAAAGAGGAGACTGGGACTCCTAGGGGTCTAATGAGTGAGAGTTGAGGAAGAAGCACCCCTTTCCAGGCCTCCGTTTCCCAGACTGTGATGCGGAGGGCGGAGAAGGATTGTGCAGTCGCCTGCCGCGGCCTCCCTGCACCCTTTTGACAGCCGCTTCCCTCTCGGAGTAGCTGTTGGGTTAACGTTTTCCTGTGTGGAGCTTTGGGGTCAGGCAGTCCTGGGTTCACCTCCTGATGGTGTTGCTGAGTCGGTGTGAACTCGGGTCTTGATGGGTCCTTAGAGCAATTTCACTTTAATATTTTATTATGTTTTATTATGAAAATGTTCCGACTTATATAAAAGTGAGAGAATAATAGAAGAATCCCTATCGCCCAGAGTTACCAATTATTAATATTTTTTGACATATTGGCTGGGTATTTTTTTAAGATTAAATATATAAGGCAAATTCTATCCATCGTGACATTTCACCCGTAAATACCTCAGGATACATGTGTAAAAAACAGAGACATTTTTACAACATTGTAAATTAACTATACTTAAACTTTTTTTAAAAATTTTAATTTTTAAAAAGCACACACGCACACAAAAAAGCAGGGACATTTTCCTCCATGACCACAATACTATTACACTTACAAGAGCAACCCTAATATTACCTATTACTTGGTCCACAAGCAAATTCTCTTTCTGAAAAAATGCCTTTAAAAAAAGAAGTTTCACTTTTTTGAATCAGAATCCATTCAAGTCATTGTTATGTCTCTTAAGTTGCTCTTAATTTCAAACAGCCTCACCTCCACCCCACCCTGTTTTTTTCCTTGGCAATTGATTCATTGAAGAAACTGGATCAGTTATTCCGTTATCATCCCACCATCTGAACTTGTCTTTTTGCTTCTTTGAAATGGTGATGGCCTTTCACTTATTCCTCCATTATTCCCGCTGCACCCCCCTCCCCAATTGCCACACCCTCTCTCTATGGATTAACCTAATGTGGACTTTTCACATCAATGGAATCTTTTTCCTGTCTGGTTTCTTTCACTTAGCATAATGTTGTCAAGGTTCCTCCATTTTGTAGCATGTATCAGTACTTCTTTTTAAAGCTAAATAATATCCCTTTGTATGAGATATACCATATTTTGTTTATCCACGCGTCAGTCAATGGACATTTGTGTTGTTTCCACTTTTTGGCTATTGTGAATGTGCTGCTTGCACTTGTGTACAAGATTTAGTGTGGACATAAGTTTTCATTTCTTTTGGCGGTGGAATTGCTGAATCAAATGGTAACTCTGTGTTTAGCCTTCTGAGGAACTGCCAGAGTTTTCCAAAGTGGCTACTTCATTTTGCATTCCCACCCTCAGTGTCTGAGTGTTTCAATTTCTCCACACTTGTTATGATCCAACTTTTTTTTTTTTGGCCATGCCGAGTGGCATGCGAGATCTTCCCTGACCGGGGATCGAACCTGTGTCCCCTGCAGTGGATGAGCGGAGTCTTAACCACCGGACTGCCAGGGAAGTCCATCGTCTGACTTTTTGACTGTAGTTATTCTGTGGGTGTGAAGTAGTATCTCACTGCTCTTTCTTGTTTTTGTTTTTTTTAAGATTTTTTCAATGGGGACCCTTTTTAAAGTCTTTATTTAATTTGTTACAGTATTGCTTCTGCTTTTTTTCTTTTTCTTTTAAATTTATTTATTTATTTTTGGCTGTGTTGGGTCTTCATTGCTGTGCGCGGGCTTTCTCTGGTTGCTGGGAGCAGGGGCTACTCTTCATTGCGGTGTACGGGCTTCTCATTGTGGTGGCTTCTCTTGTTGCGGAGCACGGGCTCTAGGCATGTGGGCTTCATTAGTTGTGGCACACGGGCTCAGTAGTTGTGGCTCGCCGGCTCTAGAGCATACACTCAGTAGTAGTGGCGCATGGGCTTAGTTGCTCCGTGGCACGTGGGATCTTCCCGGACCAGGGCTTGAACCCATGTCCACTGCATTGGCAGGCGGATTCTTAACCACTGCGCCACCAGGGAAGCCCCGCTTCTGTTTTATGTTTTGTTCTTTTGGCCACGAGTCATGAGGCATGTGGGATGTTCGCTCCTGGACCAGGGAACAAACCCGCACCCCTTGCATTGGAAGGCGAAGTCTTAATCGCTGGACCACCGGGGAAGTCCCTCACTGCTGTTTTGACCGCATTTCCTTCATGATTAATGATGTGGAACATTTTTTTCATGTGCTTATTGGCCATTTATATATCCTCTTTGGAGAAATGTCTGTTTTGATCCTTTGCCCATTTTTAAATTGGGTTATTTGTCTTTTTATTATTGGGTTGTAAATTTCTTATATATTCTAGATACAATTCCTTTGTCAGACAGATGATTGGCTACCACCACCTGTTTTGGTACAGCTTGCAAACCAAGAATGGTTTTTAACATTTTTCAATAATTGGAAAAGACCGTAACCAACAAGGATCCACTGTATCTCACAGAGAACTATACTCAATATTTTGTAATACCCTATAAGGGAAAAGAATCTGAAAAAGAATATATATAGGAATCACTTTGCTGTACACCTTAAACTAACACAATCCTGTAAATCAACTATACTTCAATATTTTACAAATTGGAAAAAATCAAAAGAAGAAGAATATTTTGTGATATGTGATTCAGATACCAGTGTCCATACAAGAAGTTTTATTGGAACACGGCCATGGCCACTCAGTTACATAGTGTCCATGGATGCTTTGCCATACAAGGGCAGAGTTGAGTAGTTATGACAGGGGCAGGTGGCCCACAGAGGTGAAAATCGTTACTCTCTAGCCTTGTCTGGCAGATCCCTGCTCTAGCCTCTGGCTTCCTGGAATCAGGAAATTAAATGGAAAGCCTTGATTAATTTAGCTTCAGGCATCTTGGCATGGGGGCTTCAGCGCTGCTAGCTGCACACCTGGCTGTCCCACTTTTAGGGACGGTGAGATTGATGGGGCCTTCAGGTAGTGTTTACAGACTTAACGTTTGTCCCCAACCCCACCCGAAATCTTATATCTCCAATATGACTATCTGGAGATAGGACCTTTCCCGAAGTAATTAGTGTTAAATGAGGTCATAAGAGTGGGGTCCTAATCCATGGGGTTGGTGTCCTTAGAAGAGCAGGAGATACCAGAGAGCAAGCACTCTCTCCGCCCTGTGAGGACACAGCCAGAAGGTGGCCAGCCATCTGCAAGCCAGGAGGAGAGGCCTCACCAAAACCCAGCCAGGGTGGCGCCCTGATCTCAGACTCCTGGCCTCCAGAACTGTGAGAAAATCATCGTCTGTTGTGTAAGCCACCCAGCCTATGGCATTTTGTTTTGGCAGTCCTAGCTGACTGATACAGGTAGGAACAGCACAGACACGCCGTTGTAAAGCTATGTTTTTCTCCTTTCTACTAGCAAGTATCAGCACCCTGCGGATGTCCAGTTGCCATCAGGTGCCTTAGTGAATCAGTTATGTCATCAGGGGTTGCAAAATGGTGGCTTTCCAATTCTTTCATTCCTCCCACATTTCTTTATCCAAGCTGTTTTTCACCTTGAGCCACATCCAAGGAGCCGTAGAAGAGAGTGACGTGATCTAAACTCCCTTTTGAAAAGCTCACCAGGGCTCCTCTGTCAAGGAACAGACTGAGGAAGAGACCAGTTAATCCCTCTGGGCCTCTGTTTTCTCACCTCTAAAATGGGGAGAACCTACCTCGCAGGTTATCCCGAGGACCGAATGCGTTCAGAACTGTGAAGCGCTTCACCCAGGGCCTGGTGCATAAGTGTTGGAAGGATGTGATGGTCATTTCTATTCCTGTAGTGCTTTTATATTGATTGGATGGATGATTCATTCATTGATTACACACCTCTCCCGGCCGTAGGGTTGGAAGTGGTTATCATCCTATCTGACATCTCTGTGCCCCCCAGGTGCCATGCAGTGCCAGGACCCATCCTGGAGTCCAACCCAGCCCCCGCCTCTAGGGGCTTCTAGTCTGGGGGGAGAAATTCTGAGCGGTGGCAGCTATAATGGATGGAAATCAGGGCATTGTCAGAGCACCAGGAATGCCTAACTCAGGCTTCCCAGAAGAGGCGACTCCTGATGGAGCCTGGGAGGAGGAAGGGGACGGGATTTCCAGGGGGAAGGTCCAGGGTTACAGGAGCTGCCCCACTCCACCGTGAAAGTCAGCACAGTGCCTGAGGCTACAGCATCAGGGGTGGTGAAGGCCACAGACTCATGCCTGGGTCAGACCCCGGCTGCATGACCTTGGGCACCTTCTCCCTGCCTCTGTTTCCTTGTTTGTAGCAACTGCTTGGGTTGTGGCGTCTGGTGGAGTTAATATGTATAAAATACTTAGAACAGGGCCAGGTTCACCAAACCTCTTAAATAAATACCAGTCATTATTCATAGAACATCTCAGACCCTCGCTTTTGCTCTTAGGGAGCTCCCTCTTTCCTGCTTCCAACACATCCTGTTTGTGTCTGTGATTTCCTCGAGTGTAATCGACCCTTTGGGTTCCTTTAACACAGGTCTCCGCCCGCCTGGGACGGCCTGCAGCATCCGCGTGACCCTCGCTATTAAAGGGAGGGGGCTCGTAGCATCCTTTAGTTCTCAGAGGGTTCTCTGATCCCAAGAGATTCGGGATTCAGACGAATCAACTGCAGAAAAAGACAGTCGGGAGAGAATAAGGGAGACTTGAATACCAGCTGGATAGTAAAGGATGTGAAGGGATTATTAATGCATTAATGGTATTGTGGTCATGTTTTTTAAACACAGTAGCCACGAGTCCCCAGAAGCTGTGGGGCACTTTGATATGTGGCTAGTGCCCCCGAGGGACTGTGTTTTTTAATCATTTCATTTAAATTAATTTAAATTCAAGCACCGATACTGGATTCAATTCCTGGAAAACTTTTAAGTACGTTTGGCACAAGCAGGGCGTGTGAATGTACATTTGCTCCTGTAAATTTTATGAACCCGAAATACAGGACAAGTTTCTGCAATGAAACTTTCGTGTCTGAATTGAGATGTGTTGAGAGAGTGGACTAGACTCTGGATTTTGAAGACTTTGTAGGAGAACGGGAATGAGTTGGCCTTTATTCTTGGATTGTAACCTCCCCAGGAGGACTGCAGCTGTCACATGGTTAAGGGTGAGGCTCCAGAGCCCGGCTGCCTGGGTTCGAGTCTGGCTCTGTTGCCGCTTCCCAGCTGGGGGACTTCATGAGCCTGTTTTCTCCTCTGTAAAATGGGAAGGAGGATATATAACAGCTGATGTTACTTTGGACGTGGCCTCTCTGAAAAGCTAGTGACGTGAGATGGTAGTAGTTCTGTTTTCTCTTTTGAGGTTTTCCTCACTGGGGAGACAATAGAGCTGCTGGCCCCTGGTCAACCCTAGTCAGCAGTTCTCAAGCTTTTTGGTCTCAGCACCTTAAAAGTCATCAAGGACTCCAAAAAGCTTTTGTCTGTGGGAGTTCTGTCTATCAGCATTTGCCATATCAGGGGAATTCCCCCGGCAGTCCAGTGGTTAGGACTCGGCACTTTCACTGCTGAGGGCCTGGGTTCGATCCCTGGTCAGGGAAGTAAGATCCTGCAAGCCTCGCTGCATGGCCGAAAGAAAAAGCGATTTGCCATATGCGAAAGGAAAACAGGCATGAAACTGCCTTGATTGAGATATAATTCACGTGACACAAAACTCACCCATTTAAAGTATACAATTCGTGGTTTTCCGTACAATCACTGTTTTTGCAACCATCACCATTTTCTGATCTCAGGACATTTTCATCACTGCAGAAAGAAACCCCATACCCCTTAGCAGCCACTGCACGCCCCCGCCCCCGGTCCCCCCTTCTCCCAGCCTGTGGCAACCACCAATCTGCTTTCTGTCTCTGTGGATCTGCCCATTCTGGACCTTTCATATAAATGGAATCAACAACACGTGGCCTTTTCTACCTGGCTCTGTTCACTCCGCATAATATAACAGACATTTTTAAAACCCAAGGGTGCACAAGCACAAGTCACACAGCCTCTGGAAAACCCCAGTAGACACTTGAGAGAAGGAGAGGAACAAAGGCAAACGCATTTGTTTTATTTATTTATTTTTAGAGCGCTCTCTTTCTATTTATTTATTTATTTGGCTGCGCTGGGTCTTAGTTGGAGCACGTGGGGTCTTCGTTGCGGCACGCAGGATCTTTGGTTGGAGCATGCGAACTCTTAGTTGCGGCATGCGTGTGGGATCTAGTTCCCTGACCGGGGATCGAACCCATGCCCCCTTCATCAAGAGCACAGAGTCTTAGCCACTGGACCACCAGGGAAGTCCCAAACATGATTTAGTATTACAAAAATAGTTTTGTGGACTCCCTGAAACTATCTTAGGGACCCCTGGGGTCCCTGGACCTTCCTTTGAGAACCACTGCCCTAGGCAAATGGCTTCACTTCTGTGCCTCAGTTTGCCCCTCTCCAAAGTGGAGATGGGGGTGGGACGGACCTCAGAGGGTGGCTGAGGTTGGATGATTGAGAGTTGGCCTGGGGGTCAGGGGTCAAGCAGTGTCCCTTGGGATTATTCCCATGACCGCCTGGCAAAATAATGAAATGCTCCATCTATAGCGGTTCCTCTCTCTCTCAGAGGGAAAATGTCCCGGTCCACAAAGCCAAAGAACTTGGCTACAAGACAAGCAGCCCAGTGCCAAATACCGCAGAGGGTCAAAGCAGTTGACAACTAAGAATAGAGTGGGGAATTTGTCCCTGAGGAGGTGAACTCGACCTTCATGAGTGCCAGTGGGGAGGGGGAGCTGGGGCGGAAGCCATGGGGCCAGGGCGGAGGAGGGGGATGGCAGGTGAGCTGGGTGGCAGCAGGTGCTGGACTTGCTCCAAAGCTGGGGGTGAGGGGAAGCTGGAGGAGGGGCGGTGGGTGGAGTTGGGGTGTTTCACTAAGGTTACCTTCTGCAATCAGCACAGTGGCCGCGGCTGGGGTGATAGAAATGTTCCGCATCTCGATTGGGGCGGGTAGTTACGAGGGTGTATGCAACTGTCAAAACGTATCAAGCTGCATCCTTAAGGTCTGTGCATGTATTCTACGTAAATATACCTACAAAACAAAAAATGGGTTTCTGGGAGGAAGATGCCAGTAGGGGGAGTGCGAGATCTGTAGCTCAAGGAGAGGTGTTTGAGTTTTGAAAGTGAAAGGCAAGTTTCTGAAAGCATCCGGAACCGGGAAATAAGATGAAGTTGCCTTTACATTGTGGGTGCTCCTGGTTGTGCCTCCCTCCCCCACCTTCTGGATCCTCCTTTCAGCCACAGAGCCAGAGAGAGTATTTCCTGAACATTCCATGTGCCATGCTCTGAGTATGACCTCATTTAGTCCACACAGCAATCCAGTCGTGTCAACTCGATCCTGTGGTTCTCCCCACTTCTTACCAAAGGACTCAGAGAGGAAATCACAAGTCCAGAGTCACAGCCAGCAGGGGGCCAACCTCGGACTCAGGCCCAGGCCGGTCTTATTCCTTTGATCCATATAACCCCCTCCTTCTTGTTCCATTTATTCTTATTTATCCCCCAGTCAGTCCCCTCCGCTACATGGGCAATCATTCTTATAGGCGTCATCTTTTGTTTGCAGGTGTTTAAAATGTATCATTTTGTTCATGTGCAGATTGTTTTATTTCTTACTTTTTTCACCCAGCATTGTGTTTTTAAGATCCACCCACAGGAATTCCCTGTTGGTCTGGTGGTTAGGACTCCGCGCTTTCACTGCCGAGGGTGAGGGTTCAATCCCTGGTTGGGAAACTAAGATCCCACAAGCTGCATGGCACTGCCAAAAGAAAAAAAGTCACCCACGATGCTCTGTACACACCTGGTCAGTTGCATCTCACTGCTGGGTGGTCTCCATGAGGGGCAGTCACTATCCATTCCACGAGGGCGGGATATTCAGTTGCCTTTGACTCCCCTCCAGTATAAATAACACCACTATGAACATCCTCACACATGCTCCCTAGTGCTGTCGCCTTTGGGGCACATACGCCCAAGTGCAGAATCGCCTGCACTCACTTTGCTGAAGTACCACCAGCCTGTGTTCCCCCAGCATCACCTGAGGGGATTCCTATCACCCACCCTCACCCTATCCAGCTATCTTATCCAGCTCTCAAAGCTTCGCCCGCCAGCCTAGTGATAGATTTAAAATGATGTCTCACTGTGGTTTTCCTGTGAGGAGAATTTGAGGCATCTCTCCATCTACCTGTTAGTCTTTGAGCTGTTTCTGTAAATCGCCTCTTCGTATCCTCAGCTCATTTTCCTCTTGGGGTAAGCTGGGTTTTTCTTGTTGACTTGCCAGCGTTCCGTGTACAGTCAGTTCTGCTCTAACACTTGTTTTGAAAACTCGAGATTTATTCCAGTGCGATGGATACATTAGGGAACAATTTGAACATAAGGCATGTTGCACCTAAATGAAGCCAGGTGCGCTTGGTTGAAATGAGCGTGTAGGCATACACAGAGCACACGCTCAACACATCCAGAACATCTACTGGGCGCTTCAGTTCCCCATTCGTGTTACGAGCCCCACCGATCACATCTGGTGCTAGAACTTTCCATCAGATAACCCTCCTTCCACCACCTCACCGTAGCTCACAACGTGTACCCCTTCCGACACCACTTCCACAAGCAAACTTCAGGTCTTTTTCAGGGTTGAGTGCCATATTTGTTTTGGGGAGGTATAGGCATTTCTTAACCATTTAACGTGTGCAAAACTCTCTTCCCCTGCCCCACTCCCAGCTTTCCCGTCAGATCAGATCGGGGGCCAGAAAGGTCCAGTCCTCTCTGCGTGGGCCCCCTCTGGTCACACAGCCCTGCAGCTGCCCCTTCCTTACCCCCCAGGATGACACGCCACGGCAAGAACTGCACAGCGGGGGCCGTCTACACCTACCATGAGAAGAAGAAGGACACAGGTACTGGGTTTGGGGGAGGGGGCAAATGGACCCTGAAGTCCCCATGTTACTTTGCTCCTCTGGTTGTGCTCTCTGGGCATGTGTCTTTCCCCCGACCGTGTAAGTAACAGCCACGTGACTGATGGTCATGACCGGAAACGTAACAGCCCACGTGAGCCAGCAACCTTCTCCCTGCCTTGTCGTGGGCACTGCGTTAAGTGCCTTCCCTGCTAAGCCTCCCAAACACCCACTGAGGAAGGAATCACTGTTGTCAGGCCATATTCCAGAGGCGGAAACTGAGGCCCAGAGAGGTACAGACGCTTGAGCTTGGTCACAGAGCCAGAAGGCCCGAGGGGAGTCAGTTACGAGCCTCTTCCCCGAGCTGCCTCAGGGACAGGGCCTGTCTGTCACTTACCCTCTGGGGATGAACGCCTTCCTGTGGGTTGTGCAGCCCTGTCCCCAACGCAGACACACAGCCCAAGCTCTTGACTGCCTGTTCTCTGAGTCCCCCTACCTCGGAGTCCTCTCTGTGCCTTTCTCTCCGGGTTTGGAGAAGGGCACATCTCCTGCCTCTCCATCCCTCTGCCTCTCTCTGTCCCCAGCGGCCTCAGGCTACGGCACCCAGAACATTCGACTGAGCCGGGATGCCGTCAAGGACTTCGATTGCTGCTGCCTCTCTCTGCAGCCGTGCCACGACCCTGTTGTTACGTAAGCTGGGAACGCGGGTGGGCGGGTCAGGGTGATGAGGGCAAGGGAATCGCCAGGAGGGGGCTGCACAGCCAGGGCGCCCTGGCAAGCCACCTACCCTCCCGCAGCCTCAGTGTTCTCCTCTGAGACATGGGCATGATCCTAGTACGCTTCATGGGGTGTGGAAAAGAATACATTCACAATAGAGGGTAGGGCTCCTGGAAAGTTGCTAGCCCATAATAACAGCTCACGTGTGGAGTGCTTACTGTTACCTACCTCTTAGCGTCTGGCAAAGGCTTCAGCGAGATAATGGGTAGAAGGTACTTAGTCCACTGACTAAATATGTGCTCAATTACTGGTCCATTTTGTAGACATCGCGATGAAAGTAGATCGTGGTTCAGGGTCCCCGAGGCCACCGGGAGGTTCAGTGGTTCACTAGAAGAACACACAGAACTCAGCAAAGCAGTTATCCTCAAATGACAGCTTATGACAGCAAAAGGTTACAGATTAAAACCAGCAATGGGGGTGGTTTCCCAGGCAGTCCAGTGGTTAAGACTCCGAGCTTCCAGTGCAGGGGGCGTGGGTTTGATCCCTGGTCGGGGAACTAAGATCCCACATGCCGGGCTTCCCTGGTGGCACAGTGGTTAAGAATCCGCCTGCCAATACAGGGGACACGGGCTTGATCCCCAGTCCGGGAAGATCCCACATAGCACAGAGCAACTAAACCCGTGCGCCACAACTACTGAGCCTGTGCTCTAGAGCCCATGAGCCACAACTACTGAAGCCCACGCACCTAGAGCCCATGCTCCGCAACAAGAGAAGCCACTGCAATGAGAAGCCCGCCCACTGCAACGAAGAGTAGCCGCCGCTCGCCGCAACTAGAGAAAGCCCGTGCGCAGCAATGAAGACCCAACGCAGCCAAAAATAAATAAAATAAAAGATCCCACATGCTGCGTGGCACGGCCAAAAAAATTTTTTTTTTAAATAAATTTATTTATTTATTTATGGCTGCATTGGGTCTTTGTTGCTGCGCGCGGGCTTTCTCTAGTTGCGGCGAGTGGGGGCTACTCTTCGTTGTGGTATGCAGGCTTCTCACTGCGGTGGCTTCTCTTGTTGTGGATCATGGGCTCTAGGTGCACGGGTTTCAGTAGTGGCACACGGGCTCAGTAGTTGTAGCTCGTGGGCTCTAGAGCGCAGGCTCAGTAGTTGTAGCGCACGGGCTTAGTTGCTCCACGGCCTGTGGGATCTTCCCGGACCAGGGCTCGAACCCGTGTCCCCTGCATTGGCAGGCAGATGCTTAACCACTGCGCCACCAGGGAAGCCCCCCCAAAATTTTTTAAATAAATAAAATCAGCAGTGGGAAAAGACACACGGGGCAGAGTCCCAGAGAGACCAGGCACAAGCTTCCTTTGTCTCTCTCAGTGGAGTCGCAGGAAAGCGCTTAATTTTCGCAGCAGCAGTTACTACCCACCAGGAAGCTCGCTCCAGCCTTGGCGTCCAGGGTTTTTATTGGAGGTTAGTCACCTAGGCCTGGCTGACCTTGGTCTTCAGCCCCTCCAGAGGTCCAGCTCACACCACATGGTCCCAACCTCCCAGGCAAACAGAGACACTCTTAACAGGCAGGACATTCCAAGGCCTAGAGGTGCCCTCCCAGGAGCCAGTGCTTTGGTTGGAATGTGCAGGGTTTGCACAGCCCAGGCCTGCTGAGCTGACCGTTTACAGTGCGAGATTTTGCCTGCGCATCAGAGGACATTATAAAGCCGGGAGAGTTAAAACAGTGCGGTCACCTCAGAGAGCTGAGCCGAGCCCTGAGTGAGCAGTTGCCTAGAAGACGCTTAGTGGTTGCCCTGGGCAGGGAGCTGATGTTCAGCAGGTGACTGTCAATCTCTGGCCATGTGGCCTGGGCCAGGCCCGTGTTTTCTCATCCCCTCCTCTCTTTGCAGCCCCGATGGCTACCTGTATGAGCGGGAGGCAATCCTAGAGTACATTTTGCACCAGAAGAAGGAGATCGCCCGGCAGATGAAGGTGGTTGGGCTGGGAGAAGGGGGTGCAGGCGTGGGTAGGTGGTTTTGATGCTGGGCCTCCCATCTAAATTCCTCCCCGCCCAGGCCTCTCCTGTGCTGTTCCCTCTGCCGGGCACACCATCCCCTCCCACTTCTGGTTAAATTCTTCTCGTTCTCCAGATTTCAGCCCAGGTGTTGCCTCCTCTGGCCTCTTGCTAGTCCAGGGCCCTGAGGGCCTGCCCCTGTCACCTCTTCTTTGGCACTTGTCACAGTTGTGACTCTACCTGTGGCTGTCTGATACAGGCCCCAGGGGCAGGGAGCGGGGCTCTCACCCACCCCAAGGCCCTAGGTTCTCGGGACATACTTGGTAAATGAGTGGATGCCAGCTCATCTCCTTGGGCCTCAGTTTTATTGTCTCTAAAATGGGCTGACAGGTCCAAACTAGAGGGCACTGCAGGGCATGCGGGAAATGCTCACAGATAAGAACTTCTTAGGCATTTTCTTGGAGCCAGGCCCACCTTCCATTGCTGAGCTCATTTTGTGGCTAGGAGGGACCCTGTCTCCCTCCTTGTCCTGCCGGCTTTTCCAGAGCTCAGGAAGCACTGGGGGCCAGGTTCTTGTTGAGCTTTTGGTCTGGAGTGCGTGGCTTCCCCTCTGCCCAGGTCCTCCACCCAGCCTGGTGGCCGCCTCATCATGCAGCCCACATCGGAAGCCCTCCCGAGCATCAGTCAGCGTCAGCGTTCCCTCCCTGCTCACTCGGTGGCCGGAGCAGTGTCTCCTCTTGCCCTCACACTGCCTGAGCCTTCATGGCTCCATAAACCTTCTCTGCTCCCTGCTATCCTGGAACTCGGGCCGTTGAGGGCAGGGACAGAGTCTACACTGTATGGACTGTATAATAGATAAGTGATAAGATATACTGTATAATTAATAACATATGGCCCCAAATTACATTTATTGAGCACTTACTATGTGCCAGGCCAGGTGCTAAGTGTTTTAAAAAATCCTCCTGTGTAACCCTCCCAGTGAGCCTCCGAGGTAGGTCACCATTGTCAGCCCGTTTTACGGATGAAGAAACTGAGGCCAGGATAGGTCACCGTGCTTACTGGAGGCCACAGAGCTAATCAGTGACAAAGGCAGGGTTTGAGCTCTGGCAGTCCCGCTTCAGCCAAGCTGTTGACCACCGAGTCCCAAACCAGCTAAAGTGGAAATGGCTTAACTGTCCTACAGTTGGTGAAGGGACAGGGAAAGGCAGCAGAGGCACACCATGGATAACTGTGCAGCCGATTAAACATTCACACCCAGGCAGTCACCAGCCTCCACCAAACAGAGCCTCTGCCAGGAACCTCCCCTGTATGGGTTCCGGTTCACCCACCTTTAAATTCAAGGAGGCACCCCAGCCCCCACCTAGGGTGCCCCAAACTCACAAGCCACAGGAGGATGCCTAGCTCGCTCCTGCCTGGCTGCCCGCAGGCCTACGAGAAGCAGCGGGGCGCCCGGCGTGAGGAGCAGAAGGGGCTGCGGCGGGCGGCCGCGCAGGACCAGGTGCGGGGCTTCCTGGAGAAGGAGGCGGCCATCGTGAGCCGGCCCCTCAACCCCTTCACGCCCAAGGCCGCCTCCGGGGACTGCCCAGGTGAGAGAGAAGTGGACATGCAAGTGGGTGGGGCTCCCGCGGGGCCAGGTGCCTCCCTGGTTGCGTCCGAACCCCTCTCCCCCCTGCAGATGATGCCAGACCCGGGTCCAGTGCGGGCCCCACAGGCAAGGACAAGGACAAAGCGCTGCCCAGCTTCTGGATCCCATCGCTGACCCCCGAGGCCAAGGCCACCAAGCTGGAGAAGCCGGTGAGCCCCCTACTCCAGCAAGCGCCTGTGTGTGCCCGCTTTGCCAGAGAGGGCCAGGGTCCTGAGGGCCCCCATCTTCCCTCACAGGGACCCCCATCCTCCCTCCGCCTGGCTCGAGCCCCGCCTGTTGACTCGGCCCCCCTCCTGCTCCCCAGTCGCGCGTTGTGACCTGCCCCATGTCCGGGAAGCCGCTGCGCATGTCCGACCTGACGCCCGTGCGCTTCACGCCGCTTGACAGCTCCGTGGACCGCGTGGGGCTCATCACACGCAGCGAGCGCTACGTGTGTGCCGTGACCCGCGACAGCCTGAGCAACGCCACACCGTGCGCCGTCCTGCGGCCCTCGTGAGTCACCTGGGGGACAGCCTGGGGACCTGTGGGACGGGGCGGGCTTGGGGTTCTGCTCTCTCTTTGGGGCGGGGCCTCTGATCGTCGTGCCCCACACTCACCCTCACTGCAGTGGGGCCGTGGTCACCGTGGAGTGCGTGGAGAAGCTGATTCGCAAGGACATGGTGGACCCCGTGACCGGAGAGAAGCTCACGGACCGCGACATCATCGTGCTGCAGCGGGTGAGTGGCACCCCTCCTCCCTGTCCCCTAGCCTTCCGGTAACCCCGACCTGCTTCCAGAGGGCCCGCCCCCTTACCGAGGCCCCGCCCCACTAAGGGAGCGGGGCCCAACCTAACCTCGCGGGCCAGGGAACCCCCGCGGCACCCCAGCTCCCCGCCGCCTCTCCTCCTCCTCCTCTAGGGCGGCACGGGCTTCGCGGGCTCCGGAGTGAAGCTGCAGGCCGAGAAGTCCCGGCCGGTGATGCAGGCCTGAGCGCGCGGTAAACCAAATAAATGGGCTTGTTGGACGCAACAGGCCGTGTGGCGCCGTCATTCACCGCACCAGAGCCCGGTGACAGCGTGAGCTCAGGAATGACTGCGCTTTGAAAGCGTGGGCTAAAAATATTTGATTGTGGTCTCACGTTAAGAGTAATATCTGAATCGAATGCAAACGCACAGCTTTAAATGGGTTGAGTGGCCAGAGGTCGGAGTCTGGGCCGCGACCACAGGAGGGCGCCACTTTAACGGACTGTAGAAATCCCCGCACTTTCTTTTGAGTTAAACCAAATTTGAAGCCCAGGAGGCGACCCGGAACGCGGCGTCTCCCGTGGTAAAGTTGGATAAGACACGCAAAGGAAATGAAGTGCTATGTGTGACTGAGAAAGCGAACAGCCGGCACCCTGTCTAGAGAAGGCAGTCAGGAACACTCCCTCCCCCACCACCTGGAGGGTGAAGAGGAAGAGGAAACCGCAAGTGCAAAGTCCCGGAGGCAGCACTTGGCAGGTGTGACGAGGGAGGAGTTCAGAGCACCCAGGCCTAGTGGACCTGCCTGGAGCTCAGACTTGACTAGGAGGGCAGGGGTGGGCTTTAAAGCTATGTTTTTAATAACCATTGAATCACAAAAGCAGACCCTGTGCAGTGTGGAGAACCAGAGCATACAGTCAAGCAAAGATTGCAAAAATAAGGTCTTAAAAGTCCTGACTCTCTGAGCGATACCCAGGTCCTGTCCTTCCAGGTCTTTCTCACATGAGTTTTTTCAACCAAAGTGAGATTTCCATGCAAGTACTGTTCTGTTCATTGAACAGTCTCTACCTTTTCATTTTGGTAAGAGGTCTTCTCATTCAATGCCCAGGCGAGATTCAGCGTGTCCTTGAGTGCTGGGCAAGCCCCTGTCTGGTACAGGACCAGTTGGTGCATCCGGCCGCAGGGAAAGGTGTTAGCAGGAGGGTGGGTCATCCTTGCACCCTGGGGAGCCCCGGAAACCCAGCAGTTCCTCCCTCAGACGCTTCTAGACCCTTCCCTTGGTCCCTAAGAGCCTTCACGCCCCACTCTTGGGCTCCCAGTCCCATTGTCTTGGGAGGATGCTTGTACCCATTTTGCAGAACAGCCCACCAAGGCTGAGAAGACAACTTGCCCAAAGTCACACTGCTCAAGGCCATAGCTGAGCCCAGGTTCCCCAGAGGTCAGCCACCTCCAGATACCTGCACCCGCCTCATTCAGTCTTGCCCTCCTCCACATCCTTTGCACCCTTCCTCCCCTAGGTTTCCCACACTGCCACCCACAGACCTCTCCACCTTGGCAAGCTCCCACCCCATCCCTTTACCGAGAATGATAGAGATCTTCCCTCCTTCTCTAAACACCCCCAATCCCCGTCCTCTTAAGAGCTCTCAACCACCCCGAGTCTTTTCTCTCAGTCCCCCCGCCCCAAGGATCCTGTTTATGTGTGGTACAGACCACTCCCCACCCCAAATAAAGATTTAAAGGTGCAAGATGGGAAATTCTGGATTTCCACAAGGAGCCTAAATGCCACTCTTTAGTTCACAGGCCCTTTGAGACACTCTTTGCGGGGAGGGGTGGGGTGTGAGTCAAGGTCCTCACTCTAAGCCATAGGTTTCCTCTAAGATTTCAAAGGTAACAAGGAGAGGAAGCAAGAGTCAGACCACAGCTGAAGCTGTGGCAGGAGAAGGGAGGGATGGGAAGTGGAGACAAATTTTGTGTTTTCTCAACAGAGGTTCCTTAGACACTGGTCTAGAGTTCAGAGCAAAGGGGCTTCCCTGGTGGCGCAGTGGTTAGGAATCCGCCTGCCAATGCAGGGGACACGGGTTCGAGCCCTGGCCCGGGAAGATCCCACATGCCGTGGAGCAGCTAAGCCTGCGTGCCACAACTACTAAAGCCCGCATGCCTAGAACCCGTGCTCCTCAACAAGAAAAGCCATTGCAATGAGAAGCCTGCGCACCGCAACGAAGAGTAGCCCCCGCTCTCTGCAACTAGAGAAAGCCCGTGCGCAGCAACAAAGACCCAACGCAGCCAAAAATAAATAAATAAATATTTAAAAATAGATGATGTTCAGAGCAAGAAATGGGCCTGGTGGGGCTTGGTGGGGTGTGCCCACTGGTGGCTCCAGCCTCAACCAGCCACCAACAGTACTTTAGGACAACTGTAATTACTTGTTGAGATTTTTAAATTGGGGAGACTTTTCTGGAAAGCGAAAACTATATAAACAGGGAGCAAATCCTTGGTGTCCAGGGGTGGGGGAGGGATTGACTACAAGGAGGGTTAACAAGAGTTTGAGGAGGGGGGATGGATCTGTTCTAATCTTAACTGTGGTGATGGTTGTATGAAGATGATTTGTGAAAATTCACCAAAGAGAGTGGACTTTATATGAATTAAAAATGCAGAAAAGGGGCGGGGCATTTTGTGTGAGTAGATTTCCATTTCTCTTAAAAAAATCAGCTTAGGGATCCCAAGAAAATTAAAAACATGTTCATGCAAAAACTTCTACATGAATGATCCTGGCAGCACTAATGGTGTAGAAACAACCCATCAACCCAGTTGATGTCCATCAACTGATGAGTGGATAAACAAAATGTGCTAGAGACATACAATGGAATATTATTCAGCCATAAAAAGGAATGGAATTCTGATCCACGCTAAAACGTGGGCCTTGAAAACATCATGCTAAGTAAAAAGCCAGATGAGGGGCTTCCCTGGTGGCGCAGCGGTTGAGAGTTCCCCTGCCGATGCAGGGGACATGGGTTCATGCCCTGGTCTGGGAGGATCCCACATGCCACGGAGCGGCTGGGCCCATGAGCCATGGCCACTGGGCCTGCGCGTCCGGAGCCTGTGCTCCGCAACGGGAGAGGCCACAGCAGTGAGAGGCCCGCGTACCGCAAAAAAAAAAAAAAAAAAAGCCAGATGAAAGGTCACATATTGTATGACTCCTGTTATATAAAATGTCCAGAATAGACAAGTTCATAGAGATGAAAAGTAAATTATTGGTTGTCAGGGGCCAGAGGGAGGAGGGAATTGGGGAGTGACTAATTAAAGTCCTGGTTTGGGACTTCCCTGGCGGTCCAGTGGTTAAGACTCCACACTTCCCTGGACTCTGCATTTCCACTACAGTGGGGGCATGGGTTTGATCCCTGGTCAGGGAACTAACATTCCACATGCCACATGGTGCAGCCAGATAAATAAAGAGAGAAAGAAAGAGAGAGGAAGGAAGGAAGGAAGGAAGGAAAGAAAGAAAAGAAAAAAGAAAGAGAAAGAGAAAGAAAGGAAAAGAAAGTCAGTCAGTCCTGGTTTGTTGTTGGGGTGATGAAAATGTTCCGGGATCAGATGATGGTTATGGATACACAACCTCGTAAATTTAAAGATCACTGAATCGTACATTTCAAAGGGTTAATAATTTTCTAGTAGACGAGTTATAACTCAATGTTTTAAAAATCAGAAGATCTGACATCGTCAAGAGACCCCACCTGACTGCTGCTCCCAGGCTGGCTCTCAGAAGCCGGTGGATTCCATCACTGATCTGGAGGTGTCAGGGGTCACCAGAGAACTAAAAGCAGAAACAGTTCCAAAGTTCCCAAAGTTCTCAATAAGCACGTGGAGAAACTAGAATTTTCTTTACTATGCTGGTAGGCATGGAAACTGGGGAAACGATTTGGCAACATGTAGTAAAACTAAAGAATGGTGACTGCATGACCTGGCAATCTTACTCTGACCTCTGCAACCAACACACATACAAACAGGCTCAACAAAACACAAACTAGAATGTTCACAGCACCTCTGCTTGTCATAGCCACTTACTGGAAATGACCCAATTTTATCAACAGCAGAATGCGTGACCTGTGGGCCATTCCCAGTGGAGTGCTATACAGCAACGAAAAGGACCACTCTGCCCAACACCTGAGTGCACACAGCGTGCTTCTACTTCTCTAAATAAATAGGCGAAAGTATCCTTTGAAATCGGGGTAGTAGTTATCCCTGGGGAGGTGATGTCTGCGTCCTCCTGGGGGCTGATAGTGTTCTCTTTCTTCATCTGAGTACTAGTTACAAGTGTGTGCATGCAGTCTGAAAATTAATGTTGCTGAACACTTGAGTTGTACACTTTTCTATTCATATGTTATTCTCCCATAAAAATGTCCTTAAATTCACTGCAATAGGGCTTCCCTGGTGGCACAGTGGTTGAGAGTCCGCCTGCCGATGCAGGGGACATGGGTTCGTGCCCCGGTCCGGGAAGATCCCACATGCCGCGGAGCGGCTGGGCCCGTGAGCCATGGCGGCTGAGCCTGCGCGTCCGGAGCCTGTGCTCCGCAACGGGAGAGACCACAACAGTGAGAGGCCCGCGTACCGCAAAAAAAAAAAAAAAAAAAAAAGCATTAAGAGAAACAAGAAAGGTTATTATCTGCTATCATTTCCATTAAAAGTAAAACAAGTTGTGCATTTTTTGCTTAATTCTGTGTAAATTCTCCCTGAGAAAAACACTGGCTGCCAGAAGAGGCGACCTTAGTGGAAGGAAGGCTTTGGTTTTAGTATCATCATATGTATTTAGAATTTTGTATCCTACGAGTATATTGCCAAAATTTAAAATGTGCAAAAGATTAAAAAAAAAAAAAAAACCTGGGGAGAGACACTAAGAGTGACAGGGTGCTGAGCAGCTATTTATCATAAGTTTCTCCATAAAAATAATTTGTTGCTATGTATGAGTATTATTTTGATTTAAAAAAAAATGTTTTCAAACATGCAGCCCTCAGAGAGCTACAAATTTGCCCTACTCCTTCCTAAACCAATTCTCCACAGTCCGCCACTAGGGGGCAGTATGTCATCATGTTTATAATTAAAAGCTTTGAGTCACACTTGGATTAAAATTCTAACCCTCCCACAGATAACAATTATAAACTCCGGATAAAACAAAACAGTTACTGTCAAGGTCTTATCCCAAGTTAAATTAGTCTCTTGACATATTTTAGCAATGCTTCTTGTTAATGTATGATTCATTTTCTGGGTTTTTCCCTGTTTATTGTGGTCTCCAGGAGGAATGGACTTTCCAATTAATTTGCAGGGCTTTAGATACCTGTTTGGTTATACTGGAGACAAAAGCAGGTCCAGTGTCACTTTGAAGGGTGTAAGACAATCTAATCGGGGAATAATATCCTTAAGGAGAGCTTTCACCACTGCAGAGGCTTTTTCTGTCCAGGTGGGATATGCTTCCACCCATTCTGAACGTGTCCACAAACATCAGCAGGTATCTGAAATTTCCTGCAGCTTGAAGCATTTGAGTAAAGTCTATTTGCTGATCTTCGGTAGGGCAGGTTCCTTTGGGTTGAGTCCCCCTCACTCCTTTTCTTGCTGTACGACAGATGTTCCCTTGGGTTTATTATTACCATAAAGTGACAACTGTCTGACTTTTCCCCCCCTAATGTAGTAGCACAAATACTTGCACCTAGAGGATTTCATCATTCTTCCCTGTTTCTCCACAGAATAACCACAGAGCCATTCAAAGGCAACCATAAAACCATAAATAGCGAGGAAGCATCTCTAACCATTAAAAGGATGCCTGTTGGCCTTGGCCTCCACCAACCAGGCTGAATTCTGGGATGGGCCTCTCAGTGATTTTAGGAACCAAGTGGAACCTTTCTCTTCTCCCTGGGAATGTCCCACTTCTGGACAAGAACAGACAGGTGTTTGTGTGTGTGTGTGTC